AATCATTCTAAGCAACATATGGCAATCTGCGGTCTTTCCTTGCACTTAGGTGGCACGGAAAGCCGTAAAAATCTTGAACAAAAGCTCATCTTTCAAACCGGCAGTCTAAATCCCACAGGGATCAATGAACGCTTTTCATTCCACTAATTTATTCATGTTTTTCTCGTTGCCATGCACCCACCAATAACGTAGCTCCATTTTCTGCCTTTAAAAGCACACACAACCCACAATTCCTCTATTCGCTCCGACGAAGGGCTAACGCTCGAAACGTCAGCTTTTGTAATCATTACGGTGGCCAATTTACCATTTCAACTTTGTTGATATATCCAAATTATTTCGTTACTCCCACCGATGCAGCCCCAAACAGTTTCTTTCGAAACTATCAGCCTTTATTCATGAGTTTTTATTAGTTCATGTTAAAGCAGATTAAAGGAAAGGGAGATGCTGAAATAGCTGGGAAAAAGCTGTTTCAGCTCAAGACTAACAACATTTCAAAATGTATTCTATAGGAGACCTTCTTGTAAAAGACTGTTTTGGTGCAACTGCAGTTGATTACATCCACAACAAAAAACTAAATTATTGTGAAATGGTGATCAGAGCTCATTCACAAAACATTGACAAGATAACAGGAAAGAATGCCTCTGTGTCAACACCATCCAGTCCTGAAAGGTAACATACCTAATTAAAAAGGATTCATTAACTAAATGGGTGATTGAAGTTGAATGATTGTGTATCACTCTTTATTGATAATACAGTAAATCCCCCTCCTGAGGGGCTTATTTACTTCAGGTCCTCTGGGGAGGTGACTTATCAGATGGGGGTAGGCTTAATAGAGGGGTAGGCTTATTAATTTAGCCCAATGTTCACTACCAGGATACAATAGGATATGATGTACTGTATTTATTCAAAAATTTTTCTCATGTTACATTTTTTCATTTACCATTTGAAATTGGCAGAGTCAAAATCCTCAGTAAAGTCTGATAGGTTGTATGATGTGTCATAGTCATTTTGTAAATCAGTAAAGCAGAAACACAATAAATGGCAAACTAAAGTCAAATGAACAATAATAATGAAATGCTTCAACTTACCAGTAAGGCTTGATTACAGTTCAACATCAATTGTTTCATCATCTTATCCAAAACTAGATGTGCCAGAGGCTGGAGTCCAAACTCTGCAGAAAATATATATTAACTTGCTAAAATAACCACAACATTTGGCTGAAATTAAATCTTTAAATTTCCCCATAAACAAACAACAAAAGACATGTGAGAAATCAAATCATATTTAATGAACAAGCTGTTAGCAAGATTTTATGAAATAGTAACTCTTTCCTTTTAGTCCAAATGTGGATCCTGGTAAGTCAAGGCTATCACCATCTAAAGATGAAGCAGCTGTGACACCAGTAGAACTTCACAAGGAATCTGTAGGTGAGGAGAACTGTGATGTGTCCGACCTTCATGGCTTTGATGTACAGGGGGGGTCAGGGCACCTGGAGGATTCAGCAATGAATAAAGTGAGTCATGAAGGAAAGGAAAAATTACCAGATCTTGATGCCAAGGCCTTGGACAAAGCAGACTGTAGGGTAGAGCAGAAAAGGCCCTCAAACCCAAAACGGCGTCAGAGTACACTGACAAGGCAAAGTAAATTCCATCATGATGGTGATTCAAGACGCTTGATGGATGAAGCGGCAAGTTTTGATCTGAGGACTGAGGATGGAGATATATTAGTTGTAGTCAGTAACCTTGACACTGAAGATCAGCAAGAGGAAATTATTGACATGGAAAATGGAGATATAGAGATTGACTATGAGGAAAAGCTGGAATATTCCAGTGCACGCATGCAGCAAGGACATGGCAGTGCATCAAGTGTATACAGTGAGCCTGATAATGCTGATAATTGCAGTGTCAGTGTCGGACTTAGTGTGTCAAGTCTTGGCAGTGATAACGAGGACATAGTTCATGATAATGACTTAACAGATTACCAAGTAGACAAGGAGGAAAAACAGCAGCTGAAAGAGGCTAATGATTCTCAACCTCAGGTAAATTAGTACACATTGTTGATGATTTGATTATTTTAACATTCTGTTCTTCATTGCTATTATCATTATCAGCGCAGGAGACAGTTTGATAACCATTGATTGTATGTTGAATTAAAGGTGTTTAACTCTATAGTGTACTGTATTTGATGCTGTGGTTTGTTTGGCAGTTCATTCCAGAATCTCACAAGAATACTAAAAAAACAGTTACGCCTCCAAAGTATCCATCAAAACTGGCACAGCTAAGTTATGTTCAAGCAGAAAACACTCGTATCAATTCCACTCATGACGATGCAGAAGGTAATCAAGAAAACCTTGCAGTACCTTCCAAGAAAAAGAAGGACAAAGCTAAAAAGAAGAAACAGAAAGGACAGTCAGAGCTGACATCACCCCTCCCTCCTCCAAGAGGAAGTATCCCTCCCCTCAATGCTGCTAGTTTGGGACCTCCTGGTATCACCAAATTTAGTGCTTTAGATCCTCTTGGGAAAAAGCCAGCTCCTTGGGAGCATGGAAGCTTAGGGCCGTTAAGGCAAGCTCCTCCCGAGTTATTACCAACCAGCCCCCGGATGGGAAGACATCCAGAGGGCCAAGCTCTTGAAAGTGCTTTTGAAAGACCAAGAACGCCTGAGCCACCTCGAAGTCCACGTGACATGACACCACATCATGCACCTCAACCATATCCTCCTGCGTCTATGCAAGGGAATCTTGATGTTCCCTTGAGAGGTTCCTTGGAGGGTGTGGTACATGACAGGGATATGAACTATGGCCCTACTGGTCCATTGCATGGGCCCCTGGCACATGCCAATGGTCAAGCACTTCTCAGAAACATGGTGAGTAAAAACATTAAACTTCTGTCATTGAAGCCTCTGAGGTCAACAACAATTTTCCACCAGTAATAATTTCAGTCAAAAGCACTTTTAAGAATATTTGCTAAAAGGCTCCAGTGAGAGGGATGTAGAACAGTATTGAAATGGCTTCACTTTGCAATCTTTAGCATTATTAAATTGCCACTGATAAGGCTAAAGAGAACTAGAGTTCTTTGAAAAACATTGTACAAATAGGTTTGTATTCACAGGGTAGATTTTCTCAAGGGAAGCTTTGTTTTGTCTTGTATTCTAGGGATGATATTGTTTGATTGATTGAGTTTCTTTTGCATGACTTTAGGACATAATTGGCAGAGGTCCAAAAATGGAATCTCATGCAGACTTGAACATGGGTGGAGTCATGCCCCATGGACCCACTGGGCAACAGACTTACTCTCTACGTGGTCCCATTCCACAACCTCCACAGCATTAATTTCTTCACCCTAGCATAATATAACTTTCTCCATGATATTCAATAAGCACTTCTTATGTGGTAGTGACAAGGAGCGTCTGTTGGACTTGTTTAGTCTTCTATCTTTTCTTTTATTCTGGTAACCATGATATATGATTCAGTGGTAGATCTGTAAACAGAAATTAGCTGTTTGTTATTCTAATGTATGAGAGGGTTAAAGAAAAGAACTATAGTGTAGAAACTACCGTTTGTAAAGTATGGTGCAGTGTAAGGTAATTCTCTGAAGATTTGGCTTCAATATGGTTTCTTGTTTTAGCAAGAATGAGACATCCTAAATGATCACTGTGGCATTACCTTCCCCATAGGAATGAATGCCGACAGGTAGAAAATCAAGCTTGAGGACCAGTTTTCAATGAATGTGTTATCTCTGATTGTTCAGTTTTCTCTAATCAAATTCCAAATTCAAGTAATACTATTTATTTCCATCTCAACAGTATTTTGGTTTTCTTGAAGTTACCAACAGTTTTGGAATATCAGTAGTTATTAATTTATGCAAGGACTGTTCAGTTCTAATCGACATCAACTTGTAATTGTTCTAAGTTATTAATTATTTATAATATACCAGTAGGTGAAACTTAATTTATCATGTTAGCATTGCCAAAGATATATAAAAGCTTACAGCCCTCTCCAGGGGATAATGTTAACTTGCATCTGTACAAAGTCTTCTATTTATTTGCTAAGGTAGGAGGAATAATAATACACATTCAAACATTTTTCAACAAACTTTAACTCTTTTCTTACTCAAAGGAAAGTATTAGCAACATTTTGAGCTATTCTTTTGTAAGAATACATTTCTTCAACTTAAAGTGAAACCTTTGGTAAGGTCAAGGATCAACGTGTCAAGTTACAAGGCTCAATAATGGTTCAAGATGGGTAAGATTTGAGGGAAGAATGAACTCTTTAACTCCCAAAAGTGATTAGCATGTAACTTCTCCCTACAATACCCATACAATATCCAACAAACAGGTAACGAGAATACTCAAACTTATCAAGTAGAAGTTAGATTGATCAAACACCAAATAATATTCTTTCTACTAATTTACAAGGAAATTTGTAGGAGTTAAAGGGGAAATCTTGGGAGTTTTAGGGTTAAGGCCAAATTTTTTAACTAACACACTGACATAACAAATTTCAAGACCATTGAAAATTCACGTTCTTGAAGTGATGATATTAATTAGACACTGAAAAGGTTTGGTCCGTGGTGTGTTTTGTTTCTCAGGGCAGGCCCTTATTAATTTTTGCTACCTATGGACCCAGAACTTAGGTTGGGCACTTAATCAAATAAATATGGTATCAAGATCCCTTTTCATCTCTTTCTTTGAAGCAAAAGTTAAGAATTTGACTAAATATTTTATGAAGGGTGTATTCATAGCAAACTGTTCGATATTTTAACCCTTCCCACACACAGACAAAAAGAAGACAGCAATGTATTCTATACAAATTTTAATCCCTTATATGTACATAAATAAAATAACTGGTAGTAGTTGATTAAAATAGGAGGAGAAATGTTTCAGTGCTGTCTAGAAACCAAAGACAAATTTATTGACAATCACAACTATGGCAAATTGTCACTTTCACATATAAATTCCATATTGTATGCATCTATTCAGTAACATCACAGATGAAATCAAAATATGGCAAGAACAAAAGTGGCACACGAGGCCCAGCCAAGTCTATCACTGATGTCCTTATATCCTTTGGAGACCCAGGGCAACATGGAATTTATTTATTTTATATCATAAAAAAGAAAAATATTAATAATGGCATCATCTCTACATCTGGCCTCCAATAGATCATAAGTACCAATCAAAATTCCTACATTATTCATCTTATAAATATGAATTCATTATGATGCCAAAACAACACTTAAAATATTCACTAAAAGTACTGAACAATTAAACTTACAGAAACAATAATCACTAGTTGTACTGATTAAGCAAAAGTGGTAACTTTCAATACAAAAGACTGAATTGGGAAAATATTGTAAGGTGAATTGTGCAAGAATATTTATTACACGACTCGGGCAGTCAGAGGGCCAAAACTAAAATCAACCAATCAAAATGCTCTATTGCTGGTCAATATTCTCTAAGTATTGGACCGGGCACTGTCCTGAATGATACCGCACTTGTGTCCCTTTGAACTTCAGTTGTATAATAAATCTCTTATTAACTAAGCTTGCTCAGGACCGTACTGGAAGAATATCGGCCCTCAGTCTTTTTTGTACAGACTGAGCATAGCGAGGTCCGTACTGTCAAGACCTCAGGCCAATATTCTCCTAGTATGGCCCTCATCCTTGGTTAATAAGGTATATGGAATAACTGGGTTAAATAGATTGCAACCATGGAAAAAATTCATCAACTTGGGCAAAAATTAATGGGTCATTTCCTTTCAACCAATACTGCTAAAAGGAGTTTAAACTATTGCATTCAAAACATTGCAACTAGATGATCCTTAGTGAAAAACTGTGGCTTAATCAATTTATTTTCCTTTGATGAAAAACACATTCCCAAACCCAGGGCAATTTGTTTAAAAGAGCATTAACCATTAACATCCATTGAAAAATTACTACAGGATTGTCAAATGAGATGACATTGAAGTTAGTTTTTCTCCACAATGCTCTTGTTTGGATTTATTCCATCAAGACTGCAACAAGATCTTATATAAAACCACTGTTCTACTTCTCAAAATTTACAAACTATTCATAGGTGATAGTTCTATACACTGATCAAGTGCTGCAAGTACGACTGATGCAAATTTCACCTGATTAAAGATATAGGTCATATACAATAACTGAAACTGACACTTTCCCATTAAACCCAAAAACTATCTTCAATTTGTTACAAAAGATAGTAAAAATCCCTTGCTAATATATTACACTTTTCCGATGATTTGGCTTTCCATAGTACGCATACAAAGTTCAGCCTAACATGGTGTAAAGTATATTCTAGTAAGAGGGGGGGGGGAGTGAGTGGGTGTGAAGAAAATATCTCACAACTGTACGTTTTGAAAATATGAAAGTACTATATATGTTATGTAGAAGTTCTAGAATTTCAGGATCTGTGATTTACTCAAAACAATGATTCAATTTCCATTTTGTTGTATATACATAGCTATCTCCAAATACTTAAATGAAAATTTGTAGAGTTGTCTTATGGAAATACAACTGTCTCAATCACAAGGTCTTGTGTCAATCTCATGCCTATATTCAAGTGAACAATTTCATAAGCACTTCTCAATCTCCCAACTTCAACAAAAATCTGACTGAAAATTCCAGTGACATACTAACAGCAACAGTTTGACAAAGAACTAAATTTCTATCCTACAAATAAAAATAATGCCAGTGACAAAGAATAAAAAGAATATCATCAAAAAGACAAGCTCCCTCCTATCATATGCATCCAGATAACCTCTTCTCTGCATCCTCTTGTTTTATCAAACAAGACATTTCAAGGGTATATACTATCATAAGTTCTATCCATCATGCTACTCTAGAAAATAACTTGCTTGTATAACAATATTATATTACAGTACAGAACAAACATCTTCTGGTTAAAGTATCATTTCTTTTTCCCTTTTCCTTGTTGTCCACGAGGTGGGGTTACAGGCCGGCCAGAGTTCAAACCCCCATAAGGGAACTTCTTCTTGTCGGCAGGTTTTAGAATCTGTCAAGTTAAAATTAACCAAGATACATAAATAACATATTGTAACAGTGTAAATTTGTTGTAACATCTTGATTAGCTCTCAACAGAAATTTCATCATATAAATGATCATTCTCTTAATCATAATCTAAATCATTTTGTAAGAAAAAGAAAAATAAAGTGTGTAAAGTGTGTTAATGTCATGATTAATGGGAAGTTAATTGGACAAGTACAGCATGCCAAACTGCTTGGTGTTACTCTTGATTGCCATCTTATATGGGAGAAACACACTGATAATATCTGTTCAATTGTAAACAATAGATTGTCTCTCTTAAAAAGGATCAAACCATTTCTGAATCATCACTGTGCTCACAGCCTTTTTATCAATTGTTCAAGGGCATGGTAGCTGTTCTAGTTATTTATTGTCTCATCTTCTTCGCCTTTAAGCTAGACTGCTCCTTGATGGTAGCTTCTCTCAACCGACTAAGTTTATTTTCCAAACTCAAATGGCTTTCTATTTTCAACCTTACAAAACTAAGAACACTTGTACTCTTATTCACCATTCTTAATAATTCTGGTGCTCCTCTTTGTCTTAAATGTAAATTCAATTTCTTGTCTCCTGTTCATTTAACAGCTGGTTTAGGCACCAGAGCTTGCACACTAACAGTCTTCATGTTGCTTTCCCACAGTCTAATTCTGGAAAGCACACATTTGCTTACTATGCTGCCACCCTTGTTAACTGCCTTGACACTGATCTTAAGCAAATAGCTTGTGGATCTCCTCCTTGTACAATTTTTTTAATCTAGATTAAATAATTTTACGCATAACCTTCTTATTTTGTTCCTTAAGTTTGCTAGTAAGTTCCTCATCTTGAAGAATTAATGTGTTATGATTGTCGTTTTTCTCTTTATTGTAATTGTATTAGAAGGTAATTGTTTATATCATATTTCATCTATGTTAAAGCAACCATTTGTCTAGTTTTAGTTTCTCTCAATTCTTCACCTGAAATGAACACATAAGAGTTTCATCCACACTCATCATGGCTCCAGCATTATCAAATTCTCCACAGTAATTTGGAGCTGAAAACAAGGTTACTAACTGTCGCTTAGCGAAGAACTCGTATCCATCTTCAACAACCTGTTCCAAATAAGGAAAACACATGGCATGAGATGAGGTGTGACACTATATTAATAAATTACACACTTGTATTGATTGTCAAACTTCAAGTAACAATGCAGAAACAATTCCTTAAGTACCACCAAAGGTTTACTCAGAAGTTTACATTAAGTAACATTTCCAAGGTTAAAGTGACTACCATCAAACAGGACTTATTAAAAATCGTGCACTATAAGTATTAAACTATTACTAATTATAAAAAGAGCAACCATAATAATTGGATTTTTAGAAATTTCACATCCTTGCCTTTTTGTTCACTAATTCAAAGCCAAATTAGAATTTGGAGGGCTGTTTTCTTAAGATGGGAAGAGCCAGAGGACCTGGAGAAAAATAAGGGGGAGGGGAGGGGCAAAGATTAGAAACAACAACAAACTCAACCTGGTTCAGATGAAACCAACACACTGTGGTAAAAGGCAAGTTGTCTGAATACAGAACTATCCATGTTCCCTTATCATTGCTCTGCACCCACCTGGTGAGCTCTACAAATAAGATCCAGATCATGTTTGGCAAGGAATTTGGAAACAATATCTGGACCAAAGGTAAAGGAAACCCCTCTATCATTTTCACCCCATCCCTGGACATCCTTGTCTGGATCTGACCACAGCAGGTCACATAATAATCCTAAAAAAGGGAAAAAATTCCACTTACTACTCAATTGTACTTCAAATTGGATAAATCCACTTAAAACTAAGTAAAATTCTCTTCCTAAATACAGTTTGTGACAGACAATTATTTATCAATCTTAAATAAAAATGAGCAATAATAACTTTTTTGTAGGACATTACAAAGATTTAACCTCGTCATTGCTACAAGGATGTACTGAGTACCTACTGTATCAGATTAAACAAATGCTATGAGAATGGACTCAGTATGTCCTAAGTTACAGTACTTAATGAATACTACTGCACAGAACAAAAACCAATCAAACCTCAAATAAATGAACCTATGAGGGCCTGGTAAAGACTCAGATTTAGAGTCAGATACATGACCAAACAATTAAGAGAAAGTGAGTGACCAATCTAGCAATGAGAAAGACATATCTGGGTGATTGATTTGATGAGAAAAGTGATGAACAATATCCCAAAGAGTCTGAGTCTGCACACCATTGGAAGAAATAGCCCACATCAAAAGCGATAATGTCATAATTTTTACATTGCAAGGTCAAGGGTCTATTTCCATTTGCCTACATTTAACAATTGCTTACTCTGGAAAGTGAAAAATGCTGACTAATACCAGAATACCCAAGGAGTGCGAGAACATTAATCTCAATATAACATTACAATGCAGTTTGTCATACAATCACCTGCCAAATTACTTAGCGGATGGTTACATGAGCAACTGCATCTTCTCTGTTTTGTCCCCACAAGCATTAAACAAATTGCAAAGTAATCATCTTGAAAACAGTGTTTCAGTATTACAATAACGTCATAACAGATGACTGAGGTGAGAAGTGATAAAACCACTCAACCAATCTAAAGCATGAAATCACTTTGTAACCATTGCTAAAACAATACATACGGAAAATATATATTGCTAAAAAAATATATACATATATTTCATTTATACATTTAACAATATATATGTTAAATAATGTTGTACTTTAGAAACAGAGTCTTGTGTAATCCTTCTAAATACTACTGTTAACTCCTGAATTTGACTAAAACCATGAAATGCACCATCAATTGACAAAAATACTACAATATTATGCTCGATAACATCAAGTCATGAGAAAAAGAAAAGTTTTACATTATTACCTTAATTTCTTAAAAGTTGAATTTTTTACGCGAGTGAGACTACTAGCAGAAGAATCTCTGAATTTGTTTTTATTACACAAAGTAAAAGATGTCAAACGTCTTATAAAATAATGATATATCGTTCATGACAGCGAATCGAAACGAAACAAACCTTACCATTACACACAGTTTCGAAGCAATGCATTAAAGCTAAAACGTGATAAATGCTTCAAACACATATTCTAGCAATTTCCTCTATCAATGCATGAACCGAAACGGTTGAGTTACCCGTTCAAAAGAGAACCGCAGTAATTAGATAATAACAGGAGAGTTCTTGTCTTATCCATTTCTGGCAACCATCAAAACAAAAAGTTTCATTTTCAAAACAGTTACGACGGGAAAAACACTGCCATTAACTTAGTCACTGATTACGCCAGAAATGGCGGACATTGAGATTTGTAATTCGCTTTACCTTGGTCAGGGACATCGGTTGGCCTCATAATGCGGCGAATTTGTTCCATAGATTGCAGATCGGGCGATAAGCCTGCATCGAAAAAACCAGAGAAAATTTAGAAATTGTACCTTTACTTTCGTCGGCACATACTCAAATTAAAGTGGTCATCAAACAGACGTCAAGAAAAATATCTGAAACTCGAAATCGGCGTAACTTCGAACGAAATTCCGAACGTAGGACGGAGAACATACCTCCGTGACAGCAAAATATCTTCTCGTCCAAAATAGCAGCAACAGGAAGGCAGTTGAAGCAATCCGTAAAAGTTTTCCACAACTTAATGTTGTATCTCCTTTTACCTACAGCGAAAAAATACGCAATGTTAAATTCAATCATTCGAATTAAATATACATGTGAGCTGAAAGCTTCGTTTTCAGTCACTGAACACAGAGTTCAAATCAGTTGTAGTCACATTGAAGAAATCCCAACTTTTAAATTTTAACGAACGACAATCACACCCGAGAATGTACAAACTGTTTACTTACATTCGTCATAAAAGCCATAAATGCGGTTTATACTCGCACATTCGTGATTTCCACGGAGGAGAAAGAAGTTTTCAGGATACTTGATTTTATAAGCCAGAAGCAAACATATCGTCTCCAACGATTGTTTTCCTCGATCAACGTAATCTCCCAAAAAGAGATAATTCGATTCTGGTGGAAAACCGCCATACTCAAATAGTCTAAGAAGATCATAGTACTGCCCATGAATATCTCCTGTAATAAACAAGAAATCATAGTTAAAAGTTTGTTGGAACCGAACACGAATGCGGAAAGTTTGGGCGTAGAACATATCAACGGCAACGCCGGCAGTCGCTCACCACAAATTTTAAGAGGAGCTTCGAGTTCTAGAAGAATTGGCTGACTCAAAAAAATTTCTCTCGATTTGATACACAACCCTCGGATTTCTGCCTCTGTAAGCTGGACATTCTTTCCTGGTCTTGAGCCTCGCACTGAAAGGCAAGAGAAAAATTTAGACCCCTTCAAGTTTTAGGCTTGCATACCGATTGCAACTTATCAAAGGAACAAACCTTCCAAAAGTCGCTGTATAATGCTATCGACATTAAGCTTTTCACCATCAGCCATAACCTATAAAGCTTTATCTACCCTTAAAGTAACTTATTTTATCAAAAATGTTTAGTTAACAAGTGGATAGAAAGCTCGATGGCTCAAGATTCTACAACTACACAATTTCAATATCAAGATGGCGCCCGAAGAGACTCCGCTGGCGGTTTCTCTTAGTAATGACGTCAAAGGCGGTATTGAATAGGAGGGCCCGACAGTACAAGAAACCATGGACTGGACTTGGGAAACAGCCATAGTGGGTGTACAAAACAGGTGATATGTTCTAAAGCCAACTATTGAGCATATTTTTTAATTTAAGATCGTTATCTAGCAGATTTAGAGCCAGAAACAATGGATTAGTAATTTATAGTCAGATTTCACTTAAATATTGGGAAAAAAAGACAAACAAAACAAAACAAATCAAATATTCATTACGAAAAAATAGTTTCTCATTGCCGACGTTTTATCTTGCGTCATCCAGAATCACTGAATATTTTTCCTTAATTTACAATGTATATTTAGTAGCCCATTTGCTAAAATTTCAAAATCGTGCCACTTAAAGTATTGTGATTACGGTCATATGGTGGACAATATTTATCCCCGCAGTATGGGTAAATAGGCAATATTAACACTGTTTCCAGGAAAAAAACACCTCTAAAAAAGCCATCATAAAAATTAGTTCAGAAGAAAATACTTCTATCCCTTCCTTATATGACGTTAACTTTTACGTATGCTGTAATCTTCTGAATGAGGGAAGAAAAAGACGGCGTCATCGTAAAACTCTATATCCGTCAAATGTTGAGTGCATTTCGAAATAAAAAAATTCTGTTCTTCGCATTTCTGGTATTATGCCATTGTTACACATTTCTCTTGATGTTGGGTCGTTGGGATTATTGGCATTTTTCCGTCCACAGCCCGAGCCCCTCCCAACGAGAGCAAGCTAGTTCCCACCTTTATTTCTACCAAGCGTTTCCTGTGAAGGCTCGGCCATACAGCCAAACTATGTTGCCGAGCCTTTTAGAAACTTCGCCGGTGTCAATCTTCCTCGGCTCTTCGTTCTCGTTTTCAATAAAAAAAAGTACATTTTGCTGCCCTGTTAAGATGTCGACTGTTAGAGGACTAGCTAGACTGTTCATTGCAAGGTCCACACGGCTACTTGCGGGTAGGAATGTAGCGAATAGCTCCCCAGTCTCCTGTAGATCCAGGTCTATATTTGCAGCAACTACACGTGGTGCTTCTCAGAAACCAAGAATCCTTCCTGTTTCCTGTGCTTGCTCGCAAGTTTGCGTTTGTCAAATGCACAAACACACACAAGGTAAGTATAGAGAACTTCACTAGAGGAGTAAATCACAAATTAATGAGCGTTCGTTTTATTTACAAAACAAGACATTTGACTGTTAACTGTTAGTAGTTAGCACTTCTATAAAATACTGGGTATTTGATAATAACACATACAAGGGAAAGATTTCCAATGACGCCATAATTTTTCATGCATACAGTTTAAATGAAGGCTTGGTTCTAGATCAGAGGGGTTCTACAGCAATCTTTCCGACGTTAGGTGTGAGGGATTCTGTGGATGAGAGGTCCCTACATATGTACCTTTTACTAATCAAGCAAGGTCTGTACAGTAAGTTACGGACCAAGTTTTTTTCGCTCGGAGTTATAACCCAAGTGCAAGGTGCACAAGTCGTAAACTCAAGCAAAAAAAACAAGATTTTTTTTCTTACAGTATTGACCAAGAAATCAAGGGTAGTAAGTATTTGGTATTTGGATATCTGGTGGTATGACTATAAAATTACTTGAAGTTCAGCTATAGGTTAGCAGATTGCAGAATCTGAAGCTGGCTTCTAACTGCATAATGACTTTGGTTAATTATTTTTTATTGTCTTTTCTCGGTCAGCTGACAGTGATATAATCAAATTCCTGAAAGGTGAGATACAGAGTGAGAGAGATGCCGCCCCAAAGGTTCCAATTTCAGACTTGTTCAAGGTGAGATCCTGTCTTTGAAATTGTGGTTTTGTTTACAATGAGAATTAATTCTGTTAACAGTAACCTAGAACAATAAGAAAAAAAAAAAATGATGCTGCCCCAAGTTTTATGTTTCAAGTTATCACCATTAGGCAGTATCCCAAATCTGTCTAAGGGCTAACCCTCGAAACGTCAGTTTTTATAATCGTAACGGTGGCCAATTTACCATTTCAACTTTGTTGATATATTCAAATTATTCTGTCCCAGGTTAGTCTATTTAATTTTTGATAACTGTTCTTTTTTTTTCTCTTCAACTAGGCTGAAGTAAATGGAACACAAGTTAAATTAGAGAGGGAACACAATGCAGAAAGGTCTGTAAGACTTCATTTTTACAGCTAATTAAATTGAAAAGGACCTGTGAAGTTAAACAACTTTATGAAAGGACAGAATGAGCATACAAGATTCAGAGTTAAATCACTTAACAGAGGACCCTCTACATTGACTTGGAAAATTAGTAAGGTTCCTTTTGTTTTCTTCACTTTTAGCCCCAAAAGAGAATCTAAAAAGCTTAAGTTTGGAAATCTGCCTCAAATATATTACTTGATTATCTTCTTAGCTTTGTAGTAAATTGCTTCTAATTTGCATTGTAAGGGATGGGAAGTATTGGCAAAACAGGGCCGTTTTTGTGTAAAATGTTTGTTAGCCACAGAGAGAAGAAAGAATTCTATTTTGGAGAGTTAAGCAAAATGTGAATACTTTGAAAACTCAGTTATTAACATTGATTTCTACTTTGGTAATTTATTTCAGGATTGTAGTGTCATTTGACATCAATGAAAACACAAACAACGATGAAGCAAGTTTCAGTGGCTCAGATGATGAAGGTGAAGTGGCTGGAAAGGTAAATGTGAAGTTTCAGCTGATATTTTCCTGACCTCTTTTGGAAAACTCACTCTGTAACTATTTATATTTTCAGATTGTTTCATACCCTTTGTTTACTGTGGAAATCATAAAGAAAGCCGTAAGTTTTTAGGATGGTAATTGTTGTATCTATTGCTATAATTGTATATTCCCTAGCAGCTGAACTGATACTTCAAGTAAAGCCTTGATTTAACCAGACCTTTACCAAAATTCTCTGAATGCTAGCCCTTTAAAAAACATACCTTCTTTTGCTCAAATCTTTGGTCATCCTGTCTTCTGTGGCATACTATTTTACTTTTTATCAATGGTAGCAGTAATTTCGAATCTTCCATTTTTAAGCTTAAGAGTTAAGTGCTAGTGAATTACCAGGAACAAAATCAACCCTATCAACAAAGAGCAGCAAACACCTCACTTCTGCTTTGTAATTCTGTGGTGTGGTGTTTCTTTAAATATATTTTTGAATATTCTCTCAGGCCACTGAAAATTAGAAAAAGTCTGAGTAGGTGTAAAAAGTCAAACTTACCTGTACAATTGTAACTTGCAGTAATTTTATATTTTAATTCTAGGGTAAAACACTACAGTTCTACTGTGAGTTTAACACCCAACTTGAAGATGAACACTCTGGAGAAGACGAGGGTCCTCACTTGTTCTATATTGTCAATATTGCTGTCTCAGATGGTACCAACAAAGGAAAGACTTTTTATTGTGCAGAAACAGAAAACATGGATGAAGTAAGGAATTTTTTAATTTGTCTGTTAAATTTTGTAACATTGGCCATGAAAGGTACAAGACAGGGAGTAATGATTTATTTAAAAAAATACTTGAATGAGGAAAATTTGTATTTCTGTTGTATGAACAAAAGAAGACCGCCTCCTGGTTAGCGCTGGACTGATGTGCGGGAGGTCGAGGGTTCGAGCCCCGGCTGGACCAACACTCAAGGTCTTAAAATAATTGAGAAGAATTTGCTGCCTTTCTATAACATCAAGAAATGGTTAGATATTGTAGTCTTCTCGGATAGGGACGAATAAATGGAGGTCCCATCTCCTGCAGGATTAGGGGTAGGAGACATAAATTTCCCACGTAGGAGATTACTGTGTGATGGATGTCCTCCCTGGGGTGGGATGGGTGTGTTGTTGTCTTGTGTTTCATACATGAGCCTCTGGCTTGGGCAATATGGGTAACCATGCCCCACGTAAAGACATTAAACATTTTACTATTACTATTACTTATTACATAATTGGGAATCAGAGTAAAAATTAAGGGGATCACAGTCTATTTAAGTTGCAGCTTAAAATAGAATGTTGCAGATATTTGTTGACATGCATATCAATACTTTTAAACAGGACTTATATGGCATGCTACTTAAGATGTTAGCTGAAAGAGGAATTGACAACCACTTTGCTGCATGGCTACGTGACTATAGCACAGCTATGGAACAACAACATTATATAAAGTTTCTTGAAGATTTGCAAGGATTTGTCAAACTTCAGTAATAAGAGCCAGAAACAGGTTTAAAATGAAAGATTCCCTCAAAGACTTCTCCTGCTTAAAGACCCTTTGTTAAGTGTAGTAAAACCAGTCACAGTCAGGCTGTGTGCCACTGTTATTAAGAGATGCTGAGAATTGGATGATTTCAACCTTACAAGTACATCAGCAGGACATGTTGGGGAAAAGCAGCCATGCTACAGATTGCAAAACAACAATTCTAGAAATTCTAACTATTGCGGTTGATGGCACTTAGTAACATGTTGGCTTTTTCATATGGAACACTATTTAAAAAGAAATTCAGCAGTGCATTTAGTATGCTAATGTAGGTGTTGTTTATTGGACAACTGTACCTTTCTGTCACTTTAGAAGTGTTAAAAGACATGAAAATAACAGCTCAAAAGAAAGAAACAGTTCTTCTCTTTCTTAAGAAGGCATTATCATGACATTTTGAATGAAGTTGCAGTGCAAAGTTTCTTTATTTAATACAGTCAAGTGACATTGCAATCCAGTTTATGTCTACGAACCTCCATCTTTAAAACTTGGTAGCTTTTATTTTTGTTACAGTCAAAATAAAAGTTCCTTTCAGCTCCTTTCTCCAAGAGCGTTGCATAAAGTTCTGGGATTAATGTCAGTATCTGGGTACCTGCACACTGACCCCTTCCCTAATTCAACAACAGTCAACTGATAACAAGTTAGGTATTGCTAATAAATGCAATAGCTAGTACAGCAATCACTGGCCGTAAATTGTTCCCTTTGATAGTCTATCTATTTCTTGCGGTTGGTTGTCAGTTTGACAATGACTGAAGTAGACATGTCTCCCGTTGTGTATTCATGCACCTTGCATAACATCTGAATTAAACCATAGCACTTTCCAGTCTCCACTTTTTAAAGATTGTTTACTGTGAGTGGATGAATAGCTTGGAAAAAGACATAGTCACTAAGAAGAAGTAACATGTTGATCTTTGCCACATATCAACTTCTAACTTTACTTTCCTCCTATAACAAAGTGTGGCTCATTTTCTTCCTCCTGGTCATCATCATCACTGCTACTGGCATGAATTTTATTATCATCTAAGAAATGAAAGAACAGTTGATAAAAATTCTGGTTGAGAATCAGAGTCAAACCATTCATTTTGGTCTAACAGGCCCTCAAGTCACTCACCATCCCTTTCTTTCTCATCTTTTTTCCTTTTTGCATTTAGCTTTCGCTGTTTCTTTTTTTGCCTGTACAAAAAGAAAATGCACAAATGTCTGCCTGGAGTTGCACTTTTTTAAAACTTGTAGAGTAAAGCTTCTCTCCACAGCCCCATTGATTAGAGATTACATTGTACCACTGGTCTAAGCCTCTAAAAACATTTTTTCTGTAGCACTGAAAGCATATCAAAGGAAATGTTAAGATAGAATCAAATACATGTGACTGGAGGGCTGTTGTTTCTACTGCCAGTAGGAGACAAATTGTCATACTTGCTACAGTTAAAAGTTTTGACAAAAAAGGTTAAAATGTTCACATGAATTCATAATTGAAGCATGAAAGAAGTTATGTTTCTTAAAGAAAATAAATATGTCTGAAAGGGGAGAACTATTCACCTCTTGGCTCTCTTCTTTGCTGTTTTTTCATCTGCCTTATTTTGGTTTTCTTCAAGCTTTTTATGAAAACTTTCATCGAGTTCATGCTAAAAATAAAAACATCTATCAAAGACTTCAAACTAAGTACACAGTGTCAAGAAGTAAAAATTATCAGGTAATGACAACAAACAGTATACCATAGAAAAGACAATCTACAACAAAAGAACCCACATGACATGCAATTTACTTGACTAGTAAGACATTTTTTACCACTAAGAAAAACTGTAACCTTTTAATTACAAGATACAATTCATAGTCTGTGGTACCTCTTCTGCTTTCTTTTCAATGTAGGCAGTTCGGTTGTATTCTCTTCTTCTTGTTGCACGATAAACATGAAATTCTCCACTACCAGCCCCAGCACTTGAACCTCACACAATGAATTGAATGAAAAACTTTTTCTTACTCTTTAAAACATGAAAAAATATTAGCACACTTGCAGATCCTGCTGAATACCTGGAAACATTTATTGGGTACATCTGTAGTTAGAGAAACCCTCAATGATCTATTAAGATTTTTGATGACCATTTTCAATTTAGGAAAATATCATTTTCACTATCATTTTCATCCTAACCCCTCCTAAGAAAATTACATCAATCTGAAACTCACAAAGTAAATGAAATCATTAAGCATTCATTCTTCATTTGGAACTTAAGAAAACTCCAAAGGAACTATATGTTATTGATAAAAATCAACTCCTTTTGAGGGGTAAATGCCAGAAAATGATACGCTCCAGTCTTGGAGAAAGCTTCGTTTGAAATCCCAAGGGAAGGAAAAGACAACTTGTCTACAGGCTTTTTGTGTCATTGATCATGATACAAAAACTGGTGAGCAATTACCCAATAAAACTTACCCATAACAAATCGAATAAATTCAGGTGCATCTGATGGTTTCCACTCCTTTGGTCGATCAGGAATTGAAACTGTTTTATCCTGCAAAGCATAACATAATTTCACAGTTTTGCTCTGAATTACCATTTTAGAAACTTAGCTAGTGCTCCTAACCTACATAGCCTTGTTTTAAAAAATTACAACTCACAGGATCCTTCCAAAGCTTCTCTAACTTCATCCTCTGTATTTCGGTCGGATTGCGAGGAACAACTGGTTTCTCAGATAATGTATTTTTCTTCGCATCTTTCGAACCACTCTCATCCGCCATCTTTGTTTCTTCCAAAATGCACTGCTGTACAGCGCTGGCCTCTGAAACAAAAACGACGTTGTGTAATGGTATTCAAACTTGACAGGGGAGAAAAAGCATGGACGGGCGGTGTGCGACGGTGTTTGCAGCCGCTGCGGCGATTGGTGCAAGTTTTTACGTATTTTTGGCACCTGATGGAAAGGAAAAGAAAAAATCCAGGCGGGGTAAATACTGTTACCTACTTATATGATTTTAAAAAACACTCCACAAAGTATCCATATATCATACACCAGCTGAGTTTAGATCAATCATTTGACCTTTGCAACTGTGTAACAAATTTTTGCGAAAGATGGCATCCCCAGTTTTTGAAAAAAACGTGTGTACCTAGTGTAGAGAAGCGTTTGGTGTCAAACTGCATCAAGTCGTCTGTATTTATCTGTAGGAGACGTTAATTTCCCACGCACGAGATTACTGCGTGATGGATGTCCTCCCCTGGGGTGGGATGGGTGGGTGTTATGAGGGCCACAAGTTCATTAGCTTCTAGCTATTAAGTGCTACCCTCTATAAATAATAAATAAAGCTTTCTCTGTCATTCTTGATCTTTGAACCACTTCACTGAAAAATTCAGCTTAAGAATGAGCTTTAGTTAAGCAACTTTGATCAAAGGCTGGCATCATTGTTAACATGTCATCTGTCAAAAATAAATATATGGATATACGAAACATACTTTGAACTGATTTTACCCTAAAAGTAATTAACTACAAGCATCACAAATTCTCATACAATTCTGTCTATAACTGTGTTGAATTGATACTTTGCTGTTACATCCACAGATCGCCCTCCCGGTCTTGTGAATCTTGGCAATACTTGTTTTATGAACTCTATATTACAGGTTTGTATCTGTAAATCTGAATTTCAATCCTAGACAGATCTTAAGGGAACTGGCATCTTGTTAAAAGGGGTGGGGTGGGGGGTATCTTGTTAACCCTTATGCCCCTGAGTGTGACTGGTATCCTGTTTCTCCTCACAATAACATTGAATCACAGCTTAAGGTCACAAGAATGAAGGAAATGATCATCAACCAAAGGAGCTCTTGATTGTTAAACAAATTCTCCTTGTCAGCAACTTAGAAAATGTATGAAGAACAGTATGGAGAATATGTGTACTGATGTTAGGGTGTAAGACGTTAAAAGGAGCTATGGACTGGCATCTTGTTATGTCAGAGAGCTGATTTACAGGTTCCATTTGAACATTACTCTGTCAGTAGTATTATGTTCAACCTATGATTCTTTCTATCTCCAGGGAATTGCATTCTTGCCATCATTTGTGGCATGGTTAAAAGATTTTTCTGTCGATGATGATGGCAAAGCTTTCTCCAGTTTAGGAAAAGAGTTGAAAACACTAGTTACTGGTTTGTACAACTCTTTATCATCAGTTGCTGCATAACTTTTTTAATATCTTTATTTTCAATGCCTCATGATATGTATATTTTATTTGTAGCTCTCAATGCTGGCTGTTTGGATGGGGATGATGTCATTAATCCTGATTTCCTGTTAAATACCCTTGTGTCACATGGCTGGGTCATACCTGCTGACCAGCAGGTAAGTAAATAGACCACAGTGCCTAATCCGCAGAGAGGGTTCCCCCCCTCATTACTAGACCTGTGGGGCTCTACTACTTGTTTGACAACAAAATTTTTGTTAGGACATGATCGCATATTACTGCTCACTTGAATCCCCCCTTTAAATTTTCTAAACCAAGACACCACATACGGGTATATTTCTTTTTTTTTTTCTTTTCATTCATTAGGATGCCCATGAGTTCTTTCATATACTTTCTTCAACTCTTAATGATGAAATGGTGAGAATAAAGTCCTCTTGTATCACAAATTGTAATTATGATGTTTTGTTAAGTAGTCATTGCTTTGAGCATGTAAAGATGAAATAAACAATTTTTTTTAAAACTCGAGTTTCCAGATGGGATTTGAACCCACGACCCTCCGTGATCTAGTCGGATGCTCTAACCACTGAGCTACAGGAGACTCTATGGTGAGCAAGGGTCAATTAGTGGGTATTGACTGGAACCGCATCACGCGGCTACACAGCCAAACATCAGCTAGCGCATAGAAGCTCACTAACAGCATCACGCTGTCACATTAAAGCATCACATGCATTAAAGCATCACATGCAGCCAACCAGCCTCCAAAGTGAGCATGTAAAGATGAAATAAACAATTTTT